GGCTTATGGGTTATATGGAATCTAGGCAGTCAAGAATAGCTCGCAAGTGCTGGTGGTCTGTCGGTATGATCATATTGTGGATAACAACTTGCCATTGTGTTTTCTGTGCTGATGTATTTGTAGTCAATACACCAAAGCTGTCGGATGGTAGCATTGATATGTTTGTCAGATGGATGTGATACTCATGTAATTGTGTTATGATTAGAAACAATCGCAAGCTATTGGCCCGAGTCAAAGCTTTGTAAGTGCCCGTCTTGGCATAATATGCATCTATTATACACATATATACTTGGTTGTTTCAGTAGACTGAGTCCATGTTTTCATGTCCAACTAACATTGATTCTACTTGGATAACAGCGATCGGCATTGTAATATGGTGTTGGAGAATGTGAAGGAGGTCAGTGTATACTCATCACAATGTTGATTTAATGTATCAGATACGAATATGTAGAGATTACCCAAACTAATTCTACTGTATTGAATATAGATGTGGACAGGTATATATTTTAGATGAGCAATTCTCAATGGACATTGTTATACAGTTGCATGGCATATATTTGCTAACAGGTGTATTTATCGAATAGAAACTCCACAAACCGGAAAAGGAATCAAAAAGGCAAAGCCAGTGAACAAGGATCGTTTCATTTCCAAAATGTTTTTACGAGGAGATTCAGGTATATACTGAATTTGACCAACGTCTGTCGGTCGTTTCAAAACACGAGTCTATTTATCCATATAATGCCATATTCTAGTACTCATATTTTATTATTTGTACTTTGAAAATCTTGATAGTTATTCTGGTGTTGAGAAACATTGTTTAATGTAGCAGCAAACGAATATCACAGAATGAACTATTTTGTATTCACTCTTGTGCATACTTTGCCTTGTCATCTATTTTCTCAAACTGCCACTTCCATGAAGCATTGTACAGGAATGGACGCATATCGAAACGGTTATCATCTGCAGAATAGCTGGACATGTGATAGGCTGGTGGCATAATGGTTGCCTTGTGCCGGTTGATGGAGTAGAAAAAAAACATGCGCTTGACTTTTGCAGCAATCTACTCGACGAGATTGATATTGAATTGACATCATTTGGGATATTTAGTGTTGGCAAATATAAATATTGAAATGTGCATTAGCTTTTTTAAACGCCTTTCAGATATCAATCAACTGGTATATGCTGTATACCTCTGTTGGAGAAAACATGCTACCCCAATCGTGAAGAAGTCGCTGGAACATTGAAACAGGTCCCATTTTTGATATTTTGCGAAGCGTACCAAATACTGACAGATCTTTGTATGACATTCCCATATCATCCTGCAAGATTCAACAAAAAAGCGTCAGCACACTTTAGCCGACGATGCATACAGGAAATGCAAGCACCAAATATAGCCTACACGAATGTATTCCATCCATCAATGAAAACATACCTCATCTGTTTGAACGTGTTGCAAAGTAATGGGTTCAAGCTCTGCAGTAGGAGGTGCACTGACAAATTCGCTCAAAATATCCAATTCAGGCACTGATTCTGCCATGTGCTTGACAAACTCGACAAGATCGACTTTACTGATACCACCAAGTGGATTCAAATCCGCGCTCGAGCAATCATATTTGGTCAAATAGCCCCTTAGCCTGTATCCACACTCCAAAGTAAGTTATCAAACGCTTGGATCGATGTACCATCGACATCCACCGATTAAATTGCATTGGAAAATAAAAGTTTGATGCCTACATTTCATCCACATTAGCACTGCCAAGAACAAGTAGAGATGACCGACGATCACGAGTCCATGGAAGCAACTGTGCAAATAGATACGCTATCACCATTCTCAAACGAGCCTGGATGTTTTGAAGAGCAATGTTTTCTC